CACCACTGAGTACGAAGAGCAATTCACAAGTTGTAGTGGTGGTACTGTAATTCCTAAAATGTTCAGGACCTGCAATAGCTTAACATTATGCATTCATTCATCAGGAAAACAGTTTTATTTTGCAAATTTGGGTTGACTTCCCAGTTACAGATGAATTTTCAGGAGCCTTCATCTAAAACACCAACAAGTACACTCCGACATGAAGCATATCCAGCCCGGTGGACGAAAAGACCACTCGAAAACTATGCATTAGATCATGGCAGCGTATTATGTAAACAACAAATATTCGAAAAACAACAGCTTAAACCGGGTCTCCGCTTCTTCTAGAAAACCATTTTTGCCGGGGAACTATTCGCTTTATATATGGTTTTTTAAAAAGTGTGCAATGATTACATTTTTCCGAAGACTTATAAAGTAGGCCTATCGACTGCCATTTCCATAAATAACTCGAGATTGTAACACACTTTTTATGGAACGTTAATTATTTAGTCGTTTGGGCAATTTGAACTAGATGACAATAGTAAGTTCACATTACTTTATCCTTTTTACCAATCAAAATTATGCGCTTGCCTTTCAACTCAAATCATAATACTGGCATATGATTTATGGTCATCATTTCCTAAAAGCGATTTCTGATGATGGTAAAAAGTTTGAAACACTAGGTTGGTAAGAAAGTTCCCAGATAATTCGAAGCATTAGTGATTTGTGCTTGAACAATGCGAACACAATAGTAAGGGTATTCTACTCCTATAGTATCCACTGGACAATCAACACATGAGTAAACAAGGGCAAACAGATGGGTTTTAGTTTATTACTAGTTATTCAGACAATGTTAAAAACGGAATAGGCGGAAGTGTCGTACGAGCAAGTGGGCACAAACACATACACATGGCTCGGGGTTTGAATCCCGGATCAATATGCCTAGGTCAATTGGACCTTTCACCCCTACGGGTCGGTCAACTGGTAGCAAACTTGTCTGGGAGGGTAAAAGCAAATCTTACTCGTGCATCGGCTTACCTCCGTGATTCACTGTGTAGGCCAAAACGGTATTCAAGAACACCACTACGATTCTGAATGGAATTCGAATGCGGGCAGTATTCCAAAGCAGAGGTTGTCAGGGTTGATGTCAAAGATTTTCCCATTTTTTCTTAATAACAAGCTATAATTAACTGTATTTAAGAAGTCATTAAGTGTGTCGGGATTGAATTGATTCGATTTCTTTATTGGGTACTCTCTAAGTATCAATCTCAATAGAGATCGCACTTCACAGCTGATCGGTCACATCGCCCTGTCGCATAGTCATTGTCGTTACGTCGTCCGACGCCATTAGATCGTACATCAATCAGGGAAAAATCCCACATTCATTAATTATTCGGACCCCATTCGTCAAATGTTACATGCCTATACAGGGTGCGCACCTTGGCGACGCGCGAGCGAGAGAGACATGAATCGGACGGGGAGTGGGCGATAGCGGCCGGTCGGCCGGCCGCTTCGTACGTCAGATAGCGCGCGGGGCGCTCTGTGACGCCACGACGCGGCGGAGTCGTAGCGGTCGTCGTTGTGTGTGTCGACCGACCGACTACACCTTTATCTACGTATTCACCGTACTCTCTCAACATCAAACGTTCAGCTAACACCCTCATCGATCACATACTCCATCAACTACCTGTCAATTCACATGATCATTCATGACACTATCGCTGGACATACGCGAAAATCTTTTGCCAACGCTTAAAAAGCTGCCCGTACTCTGATACCCATCAAAATCTGGCCGAACGTTTTTGGAATACAGACGACGCTAAGGCCGTTCACGTAGCAACGAAGAGCTTCTGAAGCACATATGATACCCTCCTCTTGGAACAACGTCTTCAACTGCACTATATTGATATCTATTGATTTTTGAAGGTCTGACAGTCGCGATCCTACACAGAATAAGCTCCGAGATGGCACTTCGTCTCATGATAAAATCGATTGCAAGCATCCTTTAGAAAGCTGGGCCTCTCTACCGTATATTTGCTGGCTCAACTTGAGCTCAAAGTTCCTTCGATATGTCAAGCAGGAATTTTGGAAGAATCCCACATCTTCGAGTCGTCATGGACTGTTTAGACAAGCTCTTACGCTTCAAACCACTTAAATGCCTTTGGAATTACCGTATTGTATAGGATCACAGTATGCGTCAGCACAGAATAACTACCGTCCAAGACACGACACGAACACCCCGTTCTATGAGCGCCGGTGCTTACTGCTTATGAGTAGGATATACTCACGGAGAATATTCCGGACGCAATGCTTTCAACAGCTCAACTGCTAAAGAACCCTTCGCCGTTGCAGGCTTTACCATCTCCGAAGATATAAACCTAGTTAAGTGAAAAATAAATACAAAGCGTTATATGGAAATTCGGCTTCTCAGACCCTTCCATGGATGCTTGATCACTGTACGAAAGATTTTACTTCATGAAGCTGCAANTGGAACTAGCGGATAAGCTCTGAACTTCCCCACCACTGTGTACAGAGTCCAAAAGTTCATTCACCCCTTGGGACGAAGCATTTTTTTTTTGTTGGAAAAAGAAAAAAAGAAATGAAATCGTAAAAAAATAAACTGGACTAGTACTCGATGTAACGTCTTGATTTGAAATAAGATGTGCTGGCGATAGGTTAGAGTCGCATTCACGACAAAAAACAGAATACAAGTGAATTATACATTTGAAATATTTATGAAATCACCAAATTTGTTATGCATGACAACCAATAGACAAACAACATGACATTGAATAAAAAAATAGAAAACAAAAAAAAAGAGAAGAATTTCTCCTCAACATTTACATGATATGGGAAGAATGGGGAGAAAACTGTACGTACAAGAGACAAATTCTCCAATTAGACAGGAAAATCATAGACAAATGTGACACTTGGAATCGCCGCTGTCGTCCCATCACGATCACACGAGTACGGTATGTGCGAGGACGACAAACATGACGAGGAGTGGGTGGATGGTAAGAGGAAACTATTATGATACGTCATTGCATCGTATGACAACTGCGATAACAGGGAGAAATCACACAAAGGCACGTCGATTGGCCAATCCTCGACGCTGACCTTTTCAACTTGTTAATGAGAAAGTAATGAAACTACAATTTACTTACTTTACGACTACAACTAATCGCCGCTGGATAAACGGGAGTGGGGATACATAGTAGACTGGTAAAGACGAACACGTAAATGATTTTGCAGCGATCCAGCAACAACAAACACAAAGGATGTGCGTCGAGTGATGTGGACATAATCGCGTGCCATGAAGCTCGGCAAAACGGGGGTGGTGACCCTAGACGGGGGGTTTGACGACGGGGTGGCGGTGTGTGGCGGCCATTTGAGATGGCCACCTTCACCACACACCAACACACCGAAGGACTGTGCTATGACGACGTCATATCATATTGGATATGACATGGGGATGACTGTATGAACGAACACATCATTGTCGCCAGTACTGCTCATGTTGACCGTCACCCAGATCGTGCATCGACGGCTGACCCAATGATGGCTGGTCGATTGTGCTCAATACGGCTGACACCGGTAGTCCCATACTGGAACCGAGTCCTGAAATGGGCAATAACTGAGAGACAAGATGGCTTTGCAACGGAACATTTCTCTCTGAATCCTATTTTATTTAGCGATAACTTGAAACTTATAGCATCACTTTCAATTAGGCTCATCTCATGGTCGACTACCACAAGCGGATACAGTAAAAAGTTTGTTTTCGTCTGAACTAAAGTTAAATCATCATCAGTTCAAAGGGCAGCAACTTTGGGAAAACGATTACCCAGCAAAGGGTTCATAGGAGGAAATTTGACATAAGAGTTTTGAATTCAATTGATATATTGATCGTTTCGACACTATTCTGACAGGATCAATGTTGTCCCTACAAAAGTCCGATGGTAAGACCTGCTGGGACTCGAACCCGGCGTATTATTGGTATCTATAGGTGCAACAAACAACAATAAATTCGTCTGCCAATAGCCTCCTAAGAAGTTTGAATGATTAAAATTCTATCACAATTCTGAAACGGGAAATCGCCTGACTCCCTTNCCCTCCTGGGAAGGCAGAGTCGTCTACAAGGATCCCCGGAGGTGGGGAACCCCTTGGTTGAACATTATCTACACTGTAATCGAAACTGAATTCAACGATTCCTACCTCCTGCGCCAGTCGAATTGGACTGCCTTACGGTTTCAACAATGAAACGAGAAACACAATCTTCACCTTCCCACACATCTCACTCGCGGACTTTACTACAGTATTTTTGTGGGTGCCAAGTAGTGCCCGTGTAGCCGACCGACGTCGTCGTCGTCATCATCCAAAGCCATCGCCACCACCACACGACATCATCACACACAGGAACGAATCGTGGGAATGTGCGACTGTGGCCCCGATTTTATGGCAGCGGGCGCACGCCAGATATGGCGGGATGGAGTTCTCGAAACAAAACTCGTTTCACGATCGCGATTCAAAAACACTTGTACCGCCTGAAGTAGCAATAAACCTACAACCGGCCACACAAATAAATCTCACTGCACGAAAAGAACATCTCGCAGTGAACGACGACGAACGATGAACACACACACACATATACCCATGCAGTTACTGTCATCGTCGTGGTCGTCGTCGGTGTCATGAAAGCGCACTACTCTACTGTTCTTCAATGACATTTGCACTCTTGTTCTCGCAATACCCTCTCCTCCAGCGATCGATTTCAACACTAAACCATCAACCCAGTCCCCCTCCAGTCGTGTTACTTCCTTTCACGGTTCAACTTCCCCCGCAGTGTTCCCCTCCCAAACGACGACGACGACGACGACGACTGTATGCCAACTGAAGTGATGACGTGAAAGTAGCGTCATATGACAACTCGCCTCACTATGTCAAACGTCGAGGATCAATAAAAAGCGTTCGGTTCTTGCGGTGAGACAACTGTCATTAAGCGTTATCGGCACTTGCGCTTGATCTCATTCTGCCCAAAAAATCGCCTTAGTAGCGATGAAATCCGAAGTGACAGGCCCCAGCACCTGGCGCTCAGCACGCAGCAGTTTGCGCCGCACAAAGCGACCACCACGCAAACTACGGTATAGGCTGAGAAACCCCTTTTTCGTACAGATGAGATAGAGTAAAACTGAATAAGGTGAGAAGGTGAACAACTGAAACTTGGGGGGCTTGGGGTGTGGCCTTTGTGGGCCTATCTCTGCAAAGAGAATTATTTCGCTGAAAAAAATAGTCATCGTACTTACCTCCAACAGACGTCGTAGCTGGATTCATCGAAGACTGAAATGATGGTCCACCACTGGTTGGCATTGCTCGAGCATATGGCTGAAGAGACAAGTATTCAGTAAATGAGACTTCTACTGCTACTACATTACAGTAACTATAAAGTAACTCACATGGAATGCATCATAGGGTGATCGTGTACTCGCGTTAAACATATGATGTGAACTGAAATCAGCTGTTGGCTGATAGGGTGCCATGCCAAGACCAGCGTTAGCAAATCCAAACCTGTAAAGTAATGATTACATTAAACGTCCCAACGAAAAATCAATAAATGAAATCTCGAACTGATCATGTACGTACGCATAAGGATCCATCGCTTGTGGTGCTAAACCGGTGTACATCTGACTGGCCGATGGTACAAAACTGGCGCTGACCGCCGTCGGATTTGTGGCAAAGCGATTTGGTGCTGGTGCTGGTGAACCGTCGATGGCACTACCGGGACCCGAACCCGTTGGTGTTGGAGTACCATTCGACATTGAGGTGTCCATAAGACCGCCTGGTCGCTTGTTTCGTAGCTTCTCTTCGCGACGCCATTTCGCTCGTCGATTCGAAAACCAGACCTGTAATGAATGTTTGATTAGTTGGTTGATATTCACATTGTGATGAGAAGATTTTGAACAACAGCTGCTCCAGTACAGTAACGTTTGGTAATGTTGAATTCTGAGGGCTAATCGAGATAAATGGCACGGAAGTCGAAATAGCGACGTGGCACCTGGCCTGCATTGAACCGGCCAGCGGATCGAGGGCATGTGTCCCCTGAGCTTTGAATAATTTCTTCTTTTGTGCTTTCTGACGGTTTTTAAGACGTTTTTATCATTACATACATCAAAATATGCGTGATGTTTGAGGTCGTTTGCAATACGGCGTACGGCTGACGGGCACGAGAAGACTGAAAAGGACAGACTGACGGGAGAAGACAGGTTGGGTGGAGAGGTTGGCGCGTTATCAGGATCAATCCGAGTGACAGCCATTGTCGCGTAACGCTCTGACTGACTGACAGCACTTGAACCCCCCAAAACACCAGTCCAAGGTTGCCGGAAACTTTCCATGTAACTCATATTTACTGATGGGAACACAACTGCCCCGTCCCGCTTAGCGCGCCAATGTTCCTACGAGGAATGGCGAGGTGACGGTAGGCATTTTACGGTCCAGCTACCTTGTCCAACGGGTAATTTCTGCACAGCTGGCTTTAGATTCCCTTCTGATAGGGCTAATCTAGGCAGTTCCAAGTGACGATCCTGGAGGGACCGTTCCCAATGATATACGATCTGGCGCGAAAACTATTGCGGGGGGCCACCGTGTTAGGTAATCGTTATGGCCCATTAACACTAAGGTCAGAAAGGGAATTATAAAGGTCCGCTGATACTGAAATGATATCCTTGAGGATAAGATCCCAGTATAGCCTTCACTTACAATCAGGTTCTGACAGTTAATCTTGTTTCAAGGATTCATTTATTTGAGTAACAAACCTGTATTCGTGCTTCAGGGAGACCGATTTTTTGAGCTAGCCGTTCTCGAGCAAAAACATCCGGATAATGAGTACGCTCAAATTCTGAAATAGAACAAATTATGAGGTCAGAGGTTTTTTGACGAACGAATAGAACTCCAAGAGTAACGCTCCATTAGAAGAACTCTAAGTTGAAGTGAGAACCAGATGAACAATAGGTGAAGGTGAAAACGAATGGACGAAGAAAACCAGCAGCAAAACGACTGCCCCAATGTTTCGAGTGTTTGCTTGAATAGAAGGGGAAAACATGTTGCATGATTGGTTGTGTAGAGGGCACAATAACCAGCCGACCAGCCCCAATGTGCCTGTCTGTACTGTCAACTCCTCAATTGAACTCAAGTATGTGTTCAATTGTGTTCACACTTCACTTTGTTCCTCATCTCTCATCACCATCAACCCACAATCACAAAACATAGACGAACTTAATGAAAAGAAACGATATGGGAACAATATTGGTAGAGTGGGAGCAAAGTTTGTTCAGAGGAATGAATGTTAAACAGAAATGTGACTTAAATACAGTAATACTATTACCTTTTTCAAGGGCTTCAATTTGTTCTTGACTGAAAGACGTGCGATTTCGTTGCAGTTTTCGCTTGAGACGCATCCGTGCAGCAGCATCCTCGTCTGGATCGTTAGGCGGCTTCTGATCGTCGTCTAAAACAGTAAGTTATACATTCTATCACCAACCAATCACAGCCAATGCCCCAGGGATTCTGTAATGACGGGGCCGTACGCCCCACTATCACTATCACCACCATCACCAACAGTAGCCCCCCATATATTGCAATGGGATCCCACCAGCTCACATCATTTCTGGTTCTATGCCATAATGCCTCCTCACCTGGGATGACCCATTAGAGATAGCCTAACATCAGGATGTTGTAGGTGTCTTCACCGGAAGACATCTAAGCGCTATTAGCGCATAGAAGCTTCCGGTGATGTCGCTCTCGACTAATGCAGTGTTATTCTAACGGCGTAATTCAATCAATTATCGGGGTAGATCGTATACATACACAATTCGTTTCAGTCGTTCGCAACTCTCTTAATTCGATTATATTGCGTGCGGTTGTCTGTTAGTGCAATCAGGCGAATCGCCTGTCAAAAAGGTCGAAACGTAGTAGCCGACGATGATTTGCATTATGTCAGATATTTCAACGGCGTTTAGGGGGTGATCAGCAAAAGCAAAAATTACTGACGCCAAGTGGCGTATACGACGGCCATACACGGGGCTGATCATGAACATAGTGTGACCGATGGAACAGAGATAGACAAAAAACGAGTTCAGCAATGAATATATGGTGGCTAGCTACCTTTTAAATGTCTAGATCGTGCTGTAGGCCTCCTTGTTGGAGGCTTGAGGGGTAACGCGGCGGCCGATATCATCTCTCGACAGAGACTGATAGCGGGTAGAGGCGGGTCGGGCAGGCTGGATGCTGGTGGTGGTGAGATGGTGACGGTGGTATGGTGGTGTGGTGGTGGTGGTGTAGGAGCGGCGGCCGCCGTAAAACGGCGAACTAGTAGGGCGCGCTCTCTACAGCAGTCAGTAAATACTCATGCTGAGTCACTCAGGTTGGAGTAGGTTGTTGGACTATTGTAGATCCTAATCAGGAAAGGGCTACGACTTGGGGACAGCCCGAAAACAACTGCATGCGGCAGGTGGTAGGAATTCGCGCATCGTGTGCTTTCGGCCTATAGGAGGAGGAGGTTCACTTAGCCTATGATTTTTGGATCCACCATGTCTAATCCGGAAAATAAGCAAAGTGCTGAAGTTTAGGATATTGTGACGGATCGCGCAAACTTTAAATGCTACTGTGAATGCCCTCTGTAGACCAGCCTTCAAAGAGTAATGGCTGTTTTCAGTAATCAGTTACTAAGTTACACCTTTTAGTCGCACGACTTCAATCAAATCGTAATGTTGAGTGTTAATAAAATGGAAAAATGATTGGATTGCTTAACTCGAACTGAAAGGGACCTGTCACATCGCGGTACGACGTCCGTCAATGAGTAGTGTGGATCGACATGACGATGCATTTTCTTTTACGGATGTAGTGTAGGTGAACTGTAGCGACGCGGATTGGTCAACGGATTCCGTTCAAATGGGATTCGACGATTGACGGAAAACGGAAACCGAAGATGAGGTTTGGACAGAAGTGTGCGGAAACACGCGCGTCCACTGTCACAAGCAATCTGGATCACTTGAGCAAAAACTGATGAGCGGCGCGCGTGCAAGCAACCGACTACCACAACGGAGACGATGACGGCGACGACGAGAACGGACGGACAGAGGCGCAGCCAACGCCACAGACATGAGAGGCAGAGAGAACGCGATGAGAGCAGAGGAACGAAAAAGAAAACCGGGCCCGACCACGCCCCCGACCGTAGCCACGACCAACCAGCGATGAGCTACACATTGGTTACTCCATTAACAAATTAGTTATCACTTAACGTGTATACATAAATAAATACAGATTCACAACAAATATCGACAAGCTTCTGAAAAACAAGTCAGAATAGCAGCCATCACAACTATCCACTGAATCCTTCCAGATTTTTGATCCACTAAAATATCATGCCAGTCATAATTATGATGAACGAAATCAGTTAGGTTTGGGAAGTTTCCATCAAGAAGTAACTGAATGAGGCTTGATGATCCTGACCATACTGACGACCGAACTCGACAAGAAAATCATTTAGGAATGCACTGTTCGTTCGTCCTTCTACCGTTGTCATCAGCGAGTTCTTCTTCTTCAATCATCACTGATTCTCTATCAGGAGCTCAGTCATGCGAAAAATTGATGCCGCGCCGGCGTAACTGTGTGTAATAAATAGAACAATACCACCGCCAATCATTAATGGATTTATTTACAGAATGTACGAATATTTCCCTCCACTGAATAGCTGACCAAGAATATAAGTTACTTGTTGAAAACTGAATTCATCGGAAGCATCCTGGAGGCATAGAGGAGATGAGTGAAACACTTGCTTCCCAAAATGATTAGAAAACCCACGAATATCTCCCTTAGTGATGAATTATTATCAGGCCCAGATACTATTTAAATAATGCTGCCGTCCTAACTAGTTAGTTTACTAACTGAAATACCCCTTGATGTCTTGCCAAGATCAGCATAATGCACCAACCATATCAGAAAAATACAAGGAAAATATATGCTGAAATTTATGTCCCATTATTACTTACTGCCAACACGCTTTACTCTCGTTACTGTTATAACTACTTTTGATGAATCTCAACCTGTTGTTAGTTGAGTGCCGCTCTATGGTGGAGATTCTAGAGTGAAAATCCCCTATTACTCGTTTTCTGGCCCTCTTACCGAGGCTCAGTCCAATTTCCGATTTTAGAAGATTCACAATTTTTGGAAACTGGACAGCTCCCAGTTAGACCCATATGACTCTTCAAGCGGTGGATGGGTGTATACGTGAAAAAATGGAAAATTTCCAGAAAAAACTGCTGGATATAAGAATTATGCTATTTGTTTACAATTGTTTTTAAAAACCTTTTATATCTTGTAAATTCTGAAGAGCGATCAATCTTAGCAATCGAGCCAGTTCCTGCACAGCAGGCGTTCTGCCGCCCGCTGCCCACGTTTAAACAAAGCCTAACCGAAAGCCGAGACAATTTTTATATAAATGTTCGTACATTTGCTTTCTTTAAAATGCTCATTGCAGTAAGATTTGTGTACCCTGATTAGAAATAGCGAACTGTTTTGAGCAGTACTAAGCAGTAAGCAGTAGTACCCAGAAGGTGAATCGATTACTCTTAGAGAACCATGAGATATGAGCAGCCATACAAGGTAGTGAGAAAACTAGTAAGCTCCAAGCCCTGGTCCCTTAAGCCGGAAGGTCCAAATTCGAGTGCTCAATCTGGACCTAAAGACACTGATTATAGAATCTCAGCTTTTCCATGCAGCATTCAGCAATTGAGTAAGCCCTACTTGCATGAGTGTTTTGCATTCCAACAAAAATCTCCACAATGGGAAATCCAGAACTAGAACGATTGGATGCCTTCATGTTGGGACCCTCAAAATTCGCAAAAAAGAGTTTTCTCTAAGACTTCAGCTATGAGTGCAAGGACCAGATCAACATGAGCTGTATCAGGTCCAAAAGGAAAAGTAGTATGTCAAAATAGTATTTATAGGAAGAAATGATGATTTCTTACTTGACGGAAACATTCATAGCGTAGGGCGAAAAGTTTGAACCTTGAAAATGTGCCTGTGAAATTGGTTGGAAGAATGACAGGAAACGAAGCCACTAATTCAATAATAGTTGTTCCAAGGACGGGAACAATACTAGTATGAGGATCTACTGAAAAGTATCAGACTTGTAAGATCTAATTATAATGACATTAGTAAGCGATTTTCTTCGACATTAGTCTTTAATCAGAGCTCGATTTCAAAGTAATAATCCAAATTTAGCCATCACCATTATAGCAATTGAAACGATTACGAGAAAATCAATACGCAGCCTTATTAAAATCGATTACGAGAGAAATTATTGAAATGGAAATTGTTTAAAGAATATCGAGCAGGTTGAGAAGAGCTACTACACAGTACAATACAGATACAGATTCATCTGGTCACGGTCACGTCCGTTACCCGTTGTTTCTCATTAGAAGCGAGATTTTCTTATAAGGTAGGCTGACTGACTGACTGACTGTTACAGCACGACAATACTGGATCGTGAACTGTACTTTGAGCTGCACAAAGTAAACTCTCTACATCTTGGGACGACGTTGGTTGATCGGTTGGTCGGTCATGACGACATGTCTTACCGTAACCCTCCCAATCTCTCAACCAACACCGTTCGAACTTGAACGTTGTGAGTTTCGCGCAACCTTCACTTGTCCTACGGTAGCGCCGCGTCTGCGCACCCCCGACGACGACGACAGGCACCCCGCTTCACCAACGGTGTGTGTGCATGTGTGCGCTTCTGTGTCTGTCTGTGTATGTGACTGTGTGTGTATGTGTGTATGTGTCTATGTGCGTGGGTGGAACCGGTTCTCGTCGACCATGCCTAATTGCCGAACTAATAATATTTGTCTTAAAGTCACTGCTCAATTGTTAAGGATATTATGAAATGATGAATAGGAAGACGGAATAAAAAATTACTACTTTAATTAGCGGAAAGTCAAGCTGAGTCCAAAAAGTCTTCAGCGCTTGGGAGTAGACTGAGGATATCGCTATCAATGAGGAAAAAAAGGCGGCTTAACTCGAACAAAGCGTTGTAGCTTGCAGGAAGGCGCATAAAGATTAATCAAGTATAATAGAAATGTCACAGTGTCATCATATTCACTTAGCATCGCCACCTTTGATCTTACTTACAAGTACCGCATAAGTGAGAAGAGCTAGGAAAGCTTGATAAAGCGATTCGTATACCGAATGAGTCTGACAAAGTTGTTTGGAGATAATTTGTTTATCACTTTGAAGCACTAAAATAGATGCGTATTCACCGATGGATTCCAAGATTCCAGGCGACCTAAAGCCTTACCACAACCATTCCTAAGCTCAAGTATTTGAGGAGAAATCGTAATATGTTTCAGCATTGACGATAAGCCCATTGATTTTTCCCTTAGAACGAATTTTTCCGACCCGGAAAAATCAGGCCTCGCAATGGGAAATGACCCTTGCTGGTCTATTCGTTGAGCACTGGCAATAAGATAATTCAGTACAATATGAATTGTTTTAATATTCAGTAAGATATTCTTAAGTGCTTCAGTAATTGTTGCTAAGTAATTGCTTTAGTTGCTTACACCAGGAAAAAATTTGGATTTCTAAAGAACTCTCAAAAGTAATGACAGCAGTGATAAGCTAGCCGATCGTTGCCTCCTCGAGTAGAGTAGAATCCCTGAAGCAGCACTGAGAAGGTCCGGAAGAGAATTCAACACCATGAAAATCGCACTAGCGAAATCATACTGGTCAATGTACTGTTCAGTAATGGAACTAGAACACAGCACGTGCTTCCTTCCTTTCTTTACCACAATAAAACTGTCTTAAGCAGTTAGAAGTAGTGCTTAGATAAGACTGTGACTCTACCGAGAATCTCGACTTCAAGAGAAAGCTACTGGCTTCGATAAAAGAAGGAGAATGTTTAACACCAAAAGAGGTGCTTATATGTTGTAAGCCCAACTGCTTACCCGGCAGCGGATCTCTACTCTTACCCGGCCATTTCACAGGATAACAGAAAAGGGGGCAAGATCAACAGCTACAGATCATGATAAACGGCGCTAACCATGTGACGGTGTAGACGGGCTCATGAAGCTTGCACGTAGATGTGTAGAATACTGGAAGTTCACGTCAACATCGGGAGCATGACAGGCGTCGTGATTGTCGTGGTCGACAGAACACTGGCGTCTGTCAAACGACGGGAATAGTCTGTCGTCGGACGAGTGAACTAAGCGTGGGAAGGACGGTAATGTACCGGCGATAGTGTCAAGTTGCATCACGGGTCGCCGACTATCAGCCCATACATCGGCCATTCAGCCGGATGACGATGCGCGCATCGTCGGCTATTAACCCCAACTGGCAAGCACCAGCTGGCAGCATCCACCTCCCTAAACACCTCGCACTTCATCGTCGTCCATCCAATTCAGTCCCATATTCGTTCACAGGTGAACTTCAGTTTTTCGCCCACAGAAAAATCGCCCAACATCTCGAAAACGATCGCTTGACTGACCAGCAGCCGATCGTTCTCCTCATCGATATCGCTCGCTTATCGCACCTTTTCACTCCCACTTCATCACACCCATTAAGCAATGTGGGATAGCGATTAATTATCGGCTGCAATCAAGCTTCAAGCTCATTCTATGCCGGCGAATTTCTCGGATGTTCTGGCAAAGTTCTGAGCCTCTGTTCAAAGTGTTTTTTCTTGATTACAACTGTTACACAAACAAAAAATGTTTTGTTACTCTCTAATTGACTTATATTTTTTTCATTTTTTGAATCAAAAAAGTTGACTGATTTGGTTGAAGGCCTTGACAAGACATTCTAGAGTAGACTGTGCTTTCTACGAATCTCCGTTTTCAGTTCTATTTGAAAATCTCCATCCTCCATGTTCTTTTTATGGTGTGAAAAAGTTGTAGGGCAACGCCCTAGGAACGGGTTCCCCATTCACAGGCCTAGGACAGTCCATTTCATTTGTGACGTCACAAATGTATACTGTGACTGGAGTACGGTTATTTGTTTGTTATCAAAGAAAGTTACAAACCTGGATCCTTTTTCGTTTCGACCGGGGCTTGATGTGGAATCGATGAGAACGGCGTCAATCCGACACCTGGCATAGGCATGGTTGTCCACTGATTGTACCACTGGCCGGAATACCTAGAATATCCAAAAGTTATCCAAGATATCCTGTAGTAAGCTAAGCTAATAGCGAGTGCCCATAATTATGTCATTCATAATCCAATGGGCACATAAGTCCTCCCATTTGGTTGCAGCACGTACATAGGCTCGACGGCGGTCAATTACAGATTAGCGTGCGTTAATGCAATGAGATAAAACGGGGAAAAGAGGTAAGCTTCACAAAAGTCTCCGACGAACTTATGAGATGAAAATAAGGTTAAATTTGTTAAAAGACCAAAATTTTGCTCAAAAATTTGGGAGGGATTGGACAGTTGAAGCGGGAAATCGACTGCATTGATGCGACCCGTCTCCTAGCCACCGTAGTAGCCACCAAAGCACGAAAGAAAATGGCTAAAGTGATTAGAGAGGAAGGTACGCGGAAGATGTCTAAGTGGTGCCCCTCTCTCAAACCCGACCACTTAGAGTCTAACGGCTGTCTGAGTCGTTTCATGAATGCACCACCAACCAGCCATCACCATCATTACCATGGGTCAAATAAACAACGATTAGAAGCTGCTTACTGAAGAAAAACAAACAAGTAAGAGGGATCCCAGAAAACTAATTTCAAAGTTGAAGGATCCAGTATTACAGTAATTATCACACTGGTTTTCTCGGTACTGATTTTGAAGCATATTTAATTGCTCCAGAGCCACCAAGTAGTTCAGTGTTTTTCAGATTCATTCTAATTGAGACAACAGGATTCTTTTCATTTACTATATTTCTAGAATAACAGCTACCTTTTCGACGGAACCCATTGGATGGCCAAGTTTTGTCTTGTATTTGAAAATAGGTATATTCGTTTCGAATTCGAGCAATAATTTTTCCGACTAGCAGCTTTCCAAGCTGAAAACCCCAATTTGGTACCAGTGAATCGTGGTTCCAGCGGCCCCGATTAATGGGGTATTTTTGAATGTATCTATAAAAGTACATGATGATGTGACTTGTCTTTTTTAAATAGTAATTGTAAGCCCAATCAAACAATGATAGTTTCCGCCCATATTGACTCCGAATGAAAGAATTAACCAAAATTTTGAATACACCTTTGTGAGTCTAGTTATATGCTCCATGTTCAAAGTTGATTACCAGTTTTCCACAAGAAAAAGATCATAAATGCCAAGAGTTGAGCAATTTTGCACTCATAAGGATATAGCCGTACTGAGTTGAGCTATCAGTACGTAACTACGTCCCAATACAAGCATGAGCTGTGTTTATTTGCTTACCAATGACTTGGTCGTTTTCCAAAAAATTATGAAGAAACCGGGAATGCAACTGGAGCGTCAAGGGCTGTTCCCAGTGAGATGTCAAGACCAATCTGTCATAGACCCATTCGAAACTACTGAACGGGAATATCTGGCAGCGGTTCAGATTTGGGGATACTTTAAGAAAAGATGTTCGGGGCTATCACTCATGTCGCTTCTTTCACATGATTGTTTGTACCTGTTTGTTGATGTTTAATGAATATTAATGTTCTAAAACATACCTAGAAATGAAAAAAAAAGTTTTGGAAGCTCTTGTCACTCCATCGGGAGACCTAACAGGAAAAGAATCTCAAACTGAACTGTAGGTAAGTCAAGCTAATTGTAAGTCAAATTTCGATCTGTCTGGGAGCTGATTACCACCTACCTCTATTACCTTGCGCTTACCAGCGAATTTGACTAAGAAAATTAAGAAGAATCAGAAAAGTGATTGACTTGAGAAGGGCTTTTTTGAAAATAATTTAGCAAAGCTTCTGCNTTTTGTGAAAAAGGATTCCTCTGAGCTATTCCAGACAAGTGAATCAATCTGGATGTTGATCGTAGGGAAGGCTTATTACCACAAAATGCCACCGCCTTGCCAACAAAATGACCCTCAGAGAAATCCCACTTTGAAAAATGATCTGTACTGGATAGGATCTGGATGAATACTACAATAAAACAAAGGTATCAAAGTTTATTAAAGAAACTTACGCCAGATTTGGATCAACGAAACGTAGACGATCGTAGAAGTCCGTTTGCATGGCTTGTTGCTCTTTTCGGGCGGCCAAGTTGCGCAGCACTCGATTGATGGATGAAACCTAGAAGGAAACCAGAATATCTCGGTCCAAATCAGCCCAGCTTTATGATCATGGTCGATGAGGTTGCCACGTTAACATTTAATGTCATCAAATCTGTTTGCTTATGGCATCAATGACGATATGATGAAAATTTTCCTCCATCGATGATGATGCTCATGAAAATGGCCAACAAAGAAGATTTAACAACACAGGAAACCAGTAAATAATTGTAGAGGTAATCAGGGTTCAGGAAGTGTGGGCATGGGTCCGTTACAGAGTTACGAACGTAGTCAATGCACGAATGAAGAACTTTTACTTTACAAAAAGACAATCACCGTAACACTGGGCACATGACGAAACAGGATAGCGAGAAGAACCGTAAGCATGAGGCGTCAGGTGACGGAGTCGGACGACGACGACATTCGGATGGCTCAACTAGCAAAGAGGGCCACATTGCCGAGCTGGTCGTGCTTGCTTCAGACTCATGGATTCCCTCCAGAACAGGACTTGATCTGAGGCCGTCCGGATTCATACAGACATGGAATATCCGTAAATGGCAAATAGATTTAAAACTACTTAACAAACAAACGGGGCGAATAACGTCCTTGAGGGGAATAGAGACAGAGAGTATAGCGAGTCTCGACGCAATGAAGCCTAAAGATGCTTATCGCGGTCCGTTGTAAAGTTTAGCGGCAGTCAAACACGCTTGTTACAACGTGCTGATGTGGCGTACGGTAGTCACGTCCCAAGAAGACCGTCGGCTGTGCCCGCGTACGAACTGTTGAAATGGAAGAAAACAAAAGCGCAATATTACGGTAGTTCTCGTCTCGTCTTCGTCTTCGTCGCCCTGGTCGTGGTCGTCGTCGTCGTCGTCGTTGTCGCCGCCGTCAGCTCCGTCAATGATGTCGAGAGGCATGACAAGAACACTGTGCGCGTTGACGTTAAACGCTCACAAAACTCCCTGTCATATCCATCTCTTCATGTTACAATAGCGATATATAACGTGGATAGCGTCCCGTATGATGGATGTAGACATGATGATGTTCTACCGCAATCCCTGTCCTCCTCAGACGTCAACACGCTTGGTGGTAAAAAGCTGATTAGGTTCGAGTGACTCTGATCGAAATACCGCTGAGTTACTTACCTATTACTCCTGCCAATGCTCCACAGAATTGAGCAACAGGACCAATGCGACCCCTGTCAGCCACTGTTAAACCAGAAGCTCGGCGACTTTGATAGATTGATGAGCATTAACCGTATCTGACCTAAGGTATGTTCCCAGAAGTGGATTTTTTNTTTTTTCATTGAAAATTACGGTAATGCCGTTCAGGGGAAAGGAGCGGGAAGTGCATTTTACACACCGTTCCTTTTGCATGACCAAGGCGACCGTGACAAACTGAGAGGAATTTAATGTATGTAGGGACAGTTCCCTCTGTCAGATCAACCCAAAAAAGGCTTCCGGGGAAGCTCGTCTGTGACAGAAGAACTCAGTGATAGGTCTGGGTGACCGTCGGAATATGACGGTGACGGTTCTTGGTGAATATCAGCCAAGAGTAGTTACTGTACTTTATCAACTTATCACGTGGCCCTCCTTCTGATGAACTTTTCGGACGTTACAACTTCAGATGAAGTTTAATTGGCACCGTTTCGATGACACGTTTGAATCAGCCAGGCGAAAAATGGGTTTGGAATCTTAAATGCTTTTTGAGGAATGGAATACTCTCTTCACATCGTCATTACTGTCAATTAGCCAAAACCGCCGTCGAAGTAAATATTGTTCAAATTCCAAGGCGATCAATCGATTAAGTGAGGTCAGACTGGTTTTTGTAAAGTGGCACGATAGAGGAACGGTGGGCTCTACCGTTCTGATTTTTCTACCAGTATAGGGGGAAAAGTTTCTCCGATGAAGGAGGGGAAAAGGTTTATTTGATGAAAGGACAAAAAAGCTATCCACTTTGGAAGAGCCCATCTCTTAAGTCTATGGAAAATCTTCATTGTTATCGTTTTGTTTACTTGAACAAACTACTACATCGGTGAAGTAGGCTTGCTAACACCGGCAACTAACTGATCGTCTGGTAACCTGAGAAATTCGAGAAATAACATCCTTACGTTCCCATCAAATGGTAGGGCATACTTGTTAATCAGTTCTTCCCAATACGATATTTCCCTAGTCTCCTGCCCTGGTCCATCAAGTTTGAAACTATCTTAAAAGGGAAAAATTGACTAAAATTTACAGGGACTTTACTAAAAACTCAAGCTTCGGCTCAGCACGAAGCTCAATTATCTGGTTCCGATTTCCGACTGATAACTTTGATCTCTAAACTTACGCTTGGTATTGTATCCTGTGAACAGATGTGATCCGTGAGGAGTTTATCACGAATCTCCCAAGCAAATATACTCGGTTGTTCTCGCTTGTACTCCTCGATCTTCTCCACCACATTATTGGTAGCCACCCTGAAAATCAATAATTAAAGGCCATCCACCATGAAGGTCCATCAATGTGCTGCTGCCACGATTGGTCACGGTAAGCAGTGATCCCAAAAAGGCTCCGGACGATTATGGAATAATCAAGACTTTGAAATTGACTGATTGGTTGAGTTACTAGTAGTACAATCCTGTTGTCTTTACTCACCACGACAGTACAATAACTATTTAACATGTCATGTTGACTTTTTGCGATATTGACTGATTGTAAGTTTCTTCTACTCGTTTAAACTAAATTATAGTAATTATTTATACTATTATTTCTCATTGACTTATAAAATTGCTGCACAGAACTGTTTGTTTCTACTTGTTATTACGTAAGTTATACATAGTAGGTTCAACAGGAATGAAATCTCCAAGAATTTTTGTTAACTGAGGTCGCACACGATACTAAACGATACTGAATGATATTCACTTTTACCACAAAGTTTTCAATACTGAAACAAGAACTAAGTTTTAAAAGCCAGAAAAACATAACCCATGGCCCAAAACCGAGGTTACGGTATTATAGAGCAACGGTAACGTGACCCAAAGCTTGTCACAATGACCGATTATTTTCAAGGAATATCTACGGATTTCAGGGCAGACAAACACTAGGATCGGGTGATTTTAAAGGATATAGCAATACTGATGGCGTGGTACGACTTTGGAGGAGAGTAAGAGGATTGATGGCTCTTGAGAAAGGACTAGATGGACTCTATAATCCTCAGCAATCTTCAGAAAGCAACTCATGAAAGGGTTGAGGAGATTAATCGTTGCTATACAACAAAACATCAGTTATCTCATATGAGTAAAAGCTCGTGAGGAGCTAAAGTCTATGTTTTCCCTGTTTCACTACTCTTTGGAATGACTCAACACACAGAGACAGCAGATAGAAATCTAAAAGCTCAGTGAAAAGGAAGATTCGGGCCGTCGATTCGAATTATTTCTCATTTGAACCCTAAATTCTGAAAAGCGGTTTGGAATGGATATCGATTTAAATCCGAATATCGCACTTCCACGGCATAGCTCTTCACCAATGAATCGATCGATATCGACATGCAGTGCACATTTATGGTAAGGATAAAAATCTTATTGTTACAATCTGGGTTCATTGGACATTCGGTTGTACTCTAAAAGTGGCCCTAATGGAGGATGAACCTCATTCTACGGAACTATAAACCCATTTTCAAATCAAAACGCGTTTTTTGCTAATTGTCCACGAAATATTCTGCAAAGCTATGGGACCATTCGGACTTCGTTGTCTCCATTAGCAGTTATAGGTTTAACATGAAGCTTCATCAAGACTGTGACATTGCAGACATTTTTTTCTAACTTTGAAAGTGTTCCAAAGAAACAATGGTAAAGTTGGATGGAACTTGTACAACTTACTACTTAGAGTCACCTTTTTGGGAACCTTAAATGAGTAATATAGGCATTCCCTTTTTTCGATTTGTAAATACAATACAAACTAAACGAGCATCTAGCATCCGAACGATGGAGAAAAAGTTGGTTTAAAAGTTTTTTTGCACACTTCGATAATCCCTGGAAGTCTGTTCGGTACTACTTCAAGCTCCTAAAAATAGAACCAAACTTTGACAAGAGACAGCACTCACTATTACTTACTTTTACGTGGCCTACCGCTGCTGACCCTTTTTTTCTCACAAAAAAATTCGAGCTGATTCCTGTTTTAAAGCTCCTTTTTCGCGATTTTCCGTTAAAGACCTAAGCCAGTGTTTTTCGATACGTAGTTAAATGGACACATTAAGGAATGTTCCCCGACAAGTGACGATAAAGATGACCTAATCTACGGTGATCGAGTCCCACCACTTAGCCTTGTTCGTCGTCTATTGATTTGAGCCCGCAAAAGTGAAAAACCACCCCAAAGAAGGAGATGACATTCACTGTGGTGGTGGTGGTAGACCAAGGCCAATGTGTCGTTCGTTCATCGTCGCTGAGCACTGTCAGCAGATATTCGAAAGGGAATGAAAAAACAACGTTTAAGGCCCGACTGACCTCAACTACCTGGTTATTGTATATCTCAGAGTATGGTTCAGTGAAAGAAATACCGTGCCAACTAGTGTAATCGATATTCGTGCTTTTTCATACGCCTTCAAAAAACGCCTGCCAAACTTTGTAGTACTGTGTCTCACTACTGTAGAATGATAAGTGCTTCCCAACTTTCTCCCTGCTGGAGAACATCGCATCCAACCCCGTTTGAAAAATTACTGTAAAACCTCTGTTAAACTAGTTAGGTACAGTTCTTTAGTTTTGGGATGTGAGTATGTCTTTAGAAAAGGTTGTGGCCAAATTAATAGCGATTGAATCGTAAAATTAGAAAAGAACTTTGACTTTTGGGGAACTTGTATTTGTAGACGAATAATGCTGGCACCTCACCAAGCCAACCTGTCAACATCCGCATATCAGAGACCCAGGTTAGGCTGTACTGACTTACTAGTTATCCACACAACAGCGACAAAGTTTCAGCCATACATTCGTTGCAACAAAAATTAGGATCCGCCATAAACTGATGAAGACATGGCCAACACTACATCTTCTCACAATACTGTTTCATGCTTTATTGTCGTTGGCAAAGCAGTAATGTTATCCGTGAGGTTGATTATCACGAGCTACGACAAGGAAACGCGCTCTACTTCAAACTACTTGCGCGGCTTTTCCTGTTAGAGACGTTGTTCTCAACTTGGTCGAAATAGCCCAAGAAGAATGAATTGAAAACGGAGCTCATCACAAACTCCTGTTTCATCCATAATCATTTAACTGATCATTTAACTTAAAAATACCAAAATCCCTAAATTAACAAAATAACTTTTTCAGGCCTGCGCCACTGAAACTACCTAACGACAAGGCATTCGCAACTCATAACATTACAGACATTAGTCGTTTTCCATATGGCATTTCAAAAATGGTTGGGCCACTGTAAACATTGAAGTGCCAAGTTTTTCTTAGAGAATTTTCTGCTTAATTGATCACCCTATTACGAGCCAACATGCAACATTCATAACGGGTTATAAAAGGAACATTGAGGACCTCATTCAATTTAAAATCATGTCCAATTTCCAGTATTCTTCAGAAAAACACAGATTCGATTAGGTGCCGGTCATGTCCGATTGCTGACAAGTGAACATTTCGCTTTTGTCAGATGTTCATCATTGAGGAAAGACCTATTGGTACCACAAACATCGCCGTTCTTTTCCAAAAATATTTTGAAATCTTCAAAAACAATTCGGACAACATCCTGAACAAGGAATATTTGGTCAACTGAGTAGAAAACTATAATTAATAGTCATTCATCGGCGTTTACAATCAGCGATTCCATACCCAAGCCAACCTTACAAATATGAATTCGTAATTAATGAAATGCTACTATATTTGATGACTTAAAAAGGTTAAAAAGGTCATAAACATCAGGATGGCTCGAAAAAAGCTCGAAAAGAAAAATAGGTTTATTGCCGGTAGAAAGGAGAGCTCCCCAAAAGGATCTTATTTCAGTTTCATCGTTCATTAACTGGGGAGTAAAGATTAATCGCAGTTATCAAGATCAGCAGCTCCTTCATTACTGCTGACGATAAGTCTGCTGCGAATGAAACGGGACCAAACCAAATGAGTGAAACAAATTTCATCATCTTTCAGGATCGTTCTGTCTACTGGTTCGAGCGGCATGGCCAACCAGGTTCAACCACTTTTGCACTAACCTCCTATACACGGCTTACTTGTTTATTGAGTTTTGTATATAAATCGCTTTTCATTCCAGAACTTACGTATTTTTTGGCATGGACTGCATGACGTTCTATTTCCGCAAATAATTTGATAAAAAATATTTATAAATACCTAGGGACTCTATCGCACCGTTAACGCTAAACTTGGGTAACTATTTTAGAGAGGTGAGGGAAACTATATTTCAGAGCTAACTTCAGACTCAAATTAGGCATCAGCAGGTTTTCACAGCTTCTGTGATTCACAACAGTCCCCAAATTCAAAAAAAATTGTAATTTAAAATTGTAACTTCCAATTAAAATTGCGAGAGCTGTAACAAGTCTAGTACGGTGGACACTAAGGAGGTTCCTAGAGCCTTTGAAATTTCTAATAATGCTGTGACCATGGCTAATGCAGCAACCCTTCTCCCGTGACTGACTATTACTACCCATTTGACCGAACAGTATTCTTTAGTAGTCTTTTGACCATGGTTGATCGTTATAGTGATAGCTTGATAAAAACGTACCGAGGTTTTGATCCTCCTATAGCTCTCGGCCGTATGGTACCGGATTCGTAATATCGACACAGGATTTTCGAAACACATCTGAAAGCGCAAAAGCGTCAAAGCATTGAAGGAAATGATAGAATTTCGAAAAATTCAAATCCAGAACGTTTAAATTTGAGCTCTGATTGGCTCTCAACAATACATATTGCAGAACTATTTCATGTGAAATACTCCCCGTTACTGGCTGACTCACTGGCTGTTGATTGCTCCTTCTATTGTTATTAAAATTAACCCTCTCCTGACGAGTGATGATAGTGACGCTCAAATTAACAAGGTCAAAGAGGGTTCTGTTGTCGTTGAATCGCCTTGCTAGCTTTCAGGTAGGGCTTTAAGGACCGTTCTTGATAACCCCCNCCCCCCCCCCCCCCCCCTAAAAGGGCTGAAAATCCTTCCCTCACTCTCTACATGGTCGTACCATTTTCAATCATAGACATCACCTGGACGGAGGTGTTGTTCATGGCAAAAAGCTTCACGAAACATTCACTAAACCTCCACTGCAACGGGGAAATCTAATCAAAAATTATAGGTTGTTTTCTCAAAGACAAATCCTAAAACAGCCCCCAATATTTGAAGTTGCGATAGCACAAAGTTTCATTTGCGAGTCTGAAGAAAAGGCCAGTGTTGCCATAAACAAGGCTTCCGCTCAGGTCATCTATATGCTTAAAAGTGGCACATTCTTGTAGAGTGTGAGCTAAAAAGAGACCGGCATGATCGTCCTATGCCGCTATCAAGCCCTGGTTTTTCACTACAATTGTTTTTTGGCGAATGTGAATTTGGACATCCGTTAGTTGCTTACTTGTCAATTATAACAGTTTGAACTGATGGTTGTAGCCCTTTCTTGTGAAAAGCTCTGTCATCTTTCTAAAAAATTAAGTGCGACTGTTCACCAGCCCTTGATATTCTTCTCGATATCGCCACGAAATTACATTTCCTCACTCATTCTCTTAAGAAGAAAGGCCAATTCCCGCAGAGAACTTGCAAGTATTTTTTACATATTAATTGGCAGAAATTTAATAATTAATCGCTCTTCCTTTCACCGAGCCCGAATTACATGCATATTCCTAAAAGGTGTGTACTGCAACTGACAGATGCAGCAAAAGTGGATGGTATTGCTGTAAGTTGCGATTCAATTGGCCTTCGATCCAATTTCAAGTTTTTTTCCAGCACCACTAATTTCAGAACGAAATTTATTGCATGGGTGCAACAAACAGAGTGACCGGTCAACGTTAGAAACTTAGCCAATTTAATATTTTCATTACTCAGGAAGAAAAATGCCCGGAAGCCCGAAGAACCTCCGCCCTACTTCAGAACACTGTATTCCCATAACGTTGTTTAGAAAAGAAAGCCAAAGGATGGTCCGAACATGATGCCTTCGAAGGTTATCTACAAATTATCTAATTCACCACGTGTCGAGATAGCGAAGAGGACAGCAGGAGCAAATTTAATACTTGTCATTACTGTATGTAGCTGTGAAACAGTTTATGTGAGGGGCAGATATTCTGGATATGCAATTCAACTCTCCCTCGAACAAGAGCGATTTTTAAGCTCAGGCAAACCAAGGAAAATTGGAATACTTAGTAAAGGTTAGGTTATATTACCGGATCGGTAAATAATTTCGGTTTAATTATTACATTCGTTCAATTATTACAACATCTGATGTCTTCTTACCGGGCTTTTGGAATACTCCTACAACTTCACATCCTTCTATATCGCGCCATTGATTCGGGCGGTTACAAAGAGAGTATCCTATCCTATTTCCAGAGAAAATGAAGGCCATCGTCAGAAAGCTACCGGGAATTACCCTCTTTACCTGTTCTTACTAGTGCGAGCGCTTGTAAGCTGCGGCTGTAGTGCCAGCAAGATGGAAGCAAGCTGGATCTCGGTGGCGCATAGGATAAAGAGCATGCCCGAATAACACAGCCAAGGGTTCAGAGCCCGTCATAGTTGAGCTGTACCATAACTCGCAATCATCGATCCTCATTACCTCGATGGCCTCTTACGGTACTTTAGCTACAATATTGATGCCTTCTCAAACGGATTCTGTATAAACTTGCTGGTTGTCTAGTACTTTACTGAGCCTATATGAGTTACCCGTCTTTAAGAGACTTCAGGAAAGATGGGTAGTAATTTGATCAGGTCGAAAGTATCCATCTTTGCAAGAAGAACAGTACCTTGAAGGCGAGTGGGGATATGGTGCAAAAGATTTTTATGACTAATGTTGCGCGGATATGATACGAATTGATTGAGAAGCAATGGCACATTATTAAGATTCTGATGGAACGAATGATTACTATTTTACAAGCCAGTAGAATGGTTTAAATTGGCAAAGGATACTCCAAAGCATCATGGAAGCTGCTTATGTCTTGCCATGGCGTCCTTTAGCAGCCAGCCCTACATTCGGTCATCGAATCAATGATTAGATTGAAGTTGTCTTTGGATTTCAGTAAAATGCCCAACTTGCGGGATTCAGAAATCTGGCATCAATCACAACGATGGTCAGTTCAAGGGCCTATGATACTTGACGGTTTCAAGCTGATTATCTGGCGGAGAAAACCCAAGGGGGATAGAAGCACATTTGAATATCAACAACTGACAGGATCACTCGTCCAATTTAAGAGCTGTGCTCTCCTCAAATAAGTTCCTACAGAGGGCATGATAAATACTAGTACCGATTAGTTGACGGAAAATTACTATAGCTTATTNTTTCAAGTGACAGGTGAAACTTGGAAAAGTAGGGCTCTCCCCAAACCAGTTCAGGTTCCGTGCTTTAAAGAAAATGCCACAAGAGATTTACTGATTCTGTACCATTCTACTTGACTACAAACCATTACAAGTTGTCGCAGATTTTTTCTGCCTTTTTTATCATGTGACGGTAGGGCCAAGTATTCTGCTACAGGAGCCATGGAACCATTACAATAACTTGGAAAAGAAAGGCTTGCACTTTGTTCCAGCTACAGTATTCCCATTGTTTAGAGTACATCACTACGCAGTTTTGTGATGAAGAAGCAGATTTGATAACGTACCCATTAGAAACTTGAAGAATCCTACTAATATCACATGGCCGAGCTCCTCCATGAGCTAATTCAACGATTTTTTGCCGGGTTGTATCCGGTAGTGGGCGTCCATTGACGAATACACCACCTAACTGGTTCACACCGGTATGCCCTGCATCTAAAATAAAATTCTGCTCTCATCACAAATTACAACTGGGAATAATTTATGGAAGTTTAAAAAAATGAGTCATGAAGAATATGTAGAGAGGAAAGAAAATGTACTAGGAAGGAGAGGAAAAAAGAGCTCAAGAAGGGAGAGCTAGACAGTGCTACATACAGCGACGAATCCAGTGGCCTCACCATGTTCCTCATAATTGCATTTTAAATGATTATTATTCATAGACATTAGTAAAAATGTGTAGAATTGTTGGTGGTTTATGATAGAACCCGAACATATTTCAGGGTGAGCACTCCGTGCAGTGAACCTTTGCTCTAATCACTAGTCTGCTTTGAAATAGTTTAGCTCTTTCCATCAGTTGCTCTAGAGTCTTACTTGAACTAGGGCTTTCGCGAGGGCTTCAAGGAATTCGATTAGTCTTCAGTGACAGAACTGCTTGCTGCGTTAGTGATCCAGATGAGCATTGAGACTAAAACATTTATGGAGAGCACAGCGATCGTCGCAGAACTTATAATGGAGGGTCGAAAACTGAATTGTCAGGGGTGGGGGGGGGGGGGGGGGGGG